GTACCAGTGTATTGACTAAAAACTATAAAACTGGTAAACTAAAAAACAATTCAAACAATCGCGAAAAATGGCAACGGCAAAGTCACAGTTGCAAGTCAGTTTACCTACCTGTGAAATGAAATTTTCTGGCAAGAATATCTCTTTTTTTGTGCATCCAGAACGACAGTACGCATGGGCGTACCGGAAGGAAAAAATTAGGGGGGCGGAAAGAAAATTGCCCGACTTTTCGGGATTTTGCCCGACTAGTACCAAAAAATTTTTTCCGGAAAAATATTTTGGCGACCTCCCCCCCCCCCCCCCCCCCCCCTTTCGGTCAGTGTACCAATTTAGGGGTTCAAAAAAATTTTCCGGACAACCAATATTTTTCGGAACATACTACACAAAATTTTCGAAAAATCACTAAATTTGCCAAAAATTGACTTAATTTTACACAAAATTTACAGAATTTGTCACATTTTTTTTTATTGCAAGCCAAAATTGCCCGACTGTTGATCGAATATTGCCCGACTGCTCAAAAAACTGGGGGGGCTGCCGCCCCCCCCGCCCCCCCGCCCGGTACGCCTATGAAAGCTAGTTACTGCAAGTGATTTAAACTTCGACGCTCGCGCGGCAAGTACTTCTCAAATCAACATTAACACTCACATTTCTTCGCCAGTAAGTAAGAAAGCAAAGCGTCATAAAACGAAAACAGTAGCAATGTCAGTGGAAATCTCGTCTTCGGACGACCATTCTACTGACAGTTCTGATACCAGCAGCGACGACAGCGAATCATTCGACGAAGGAAAGCGATCAAAATCTCGGCGCACAAAAAAACATCGCCGTAAATATAAAAGACATGACCATTGGGGCAAGAAAAAGCGTAGTTATCGGTTGCAAAAAGTAAGTAACGAGTACACCGGTAATGAGAATTTTAAAATAGACAATAGTCAAGAAAAACAAACCGTGTCTATAAATCAATCAACTAATAACCGTAGATTATTGCCATATTCAAATATTTTGCAAGGGGCTATACCTTCGGATTTTGGAATCTTTGAAATTGGCGAGTCAAACTCCCACCAGCTTGAGTACGGTACATCAACGAAGAAAGACAGGCAATCCGAACAAAACTTTGTTACCGATTATAGCACTTCGACTTTAGACGATTTAGCAAATGCTGCAGAGCAAATCGACAATCGTACTTGTTTTACTATAGATTAATTTCGCATGTTTAATAGCGTAATTTGCTATTTAGTACTAGTGTTGACATTGTGTTACTAGTATTGTGCTATATAGTATATACTAGAACTATACTGAGTATATATAGTATTTATTGACATTGTTTTGCGTTTAGGCCTATATGCATGCCTTATAATTGGCAATGTGTAATGCA